ATGGGGCGCGGGCGGCGGCGGAGGCGGCTGCGCGGGGGGGGGCGGCGGCGGCGGCGGCGGCGGCTGTGGCAGCTGCTGCCCGGGCGGCCTGCGGCGGAGCCTGCTCCTGCACGGCGCGCGCAGCAAGCCCTACTCGTGCCCCGAGTGCGGCAAGAGCTTCGGCGTGCGAAAGAGCCTCATCATTCACCACCGCAGCCACACCAAGGAGCGGCCGTACGAGTGCGCCGAGTGCGAGAAGAGCTTCAACTGCCACTCGGGCCTCATCCGCCACCAGATGACGCACCGCGGCGAGCGGCCCTACAAGTGCTCCGAGTGCGAGAAGACCTACAGCCGCAAGGAGCACCTGCAGAACCACCAGCGGCTGCACACGGGCGAGCGGCCCTTCCAGTGCGCGCTCTGCGGCAAGAGCTTCATCCGCAAGCAGAACCTGCTCAAGCACCAGCGCATCCACACGGGCGAGCGGCCCTACACGTGCGGCGAGTGCGGCAAGAGCTTCCGCTACAAGGAGTCGCTCAAGGACCACCTGCGCGTGCACAGCGGCGGCCCGGGGCTCGGTGCCCCTCGGCCTCTCCAGGCGCCGCCGGAGCACGACTAGGGCTGGGCTGGGGGAGGGGAGGGCCCGAGGCCGGAGCGGGGCTGGGGGAGCGGGCCTGGGAGGTGGCCAGAGCACCCCTGATCCTGCCCCTGGTTCTCTCGGCGCGCCTTCCCTCCCTCCGCCTGCCACCTGCTGGAAATTGGGAAGAGAGATTGCACTCCAGACAGGGTCCCCCGAGGGTCGGACAGGGGTCCCCTAGATCTGTCCGGCCTGAATGGATGGCCAGCTCGTCTCGTGGGGGTGATCCAAGGGGCCTGCTGAGTGTCTTTCCCCCCAGGGAAGGTGCCAGAACGGACAGTGAGGAGGCGAGAGGCTTGGGGCAGCCCCCCTGGATGCCTCGCCACCTAGCGTGCCCTGGGTCAGACCTCACTTTGTCCAGTTCGGCCACTGGAATCACAGTTGGTGATCGGGGGAAGCAACTAGGCAGTCTCAGAAGCCCTCTGAGATAAATAAGATCCTAAGGTTAAGAGAGGCTGAATAAGGAAGCAGAAGTGTGACGGGAGGTGAGGGATGAGCTAAGGGGTACCATCTCTGATGACAGCACTGCCTCGCGTTCTAATAGCGCTTTATACTTTTTTAACGTGTTTTCTATCCATTATCCGTTCTCACCCTTAGCCTGTCCCTCTGAGGGGTAGGATTGTCCCTACTGAGAAAAGAGGCCCAGGTGGCTGCTTTACCAGGATCACACAAGAAGAGAGCTGCAGGGCTGGGACCAGGGCTCCTGACCCCAGTGCAGTGTCCCCCCACCACACACACTGCCTACCTCCCATGGCTGAGAGGCTTCTCGGCCTGGCCTCTCTTGGTCTCTCTCTCCGGTCTCCTCCCCAGACTCAGAAAGCAGCAGGGGGCCAACTCCCGGGGTTTCTGGGGGTTGGGGAACCCATCAGCTACACAATGCCCTGGGTCGTGCATCTGAAAGGCTCTTCCCGTGTAGGCATTCCCAGGCGGCAGGTCCCCTCCCCCAGCCGGTCCTTCCCACCTCCAGTCCTTCAATCTGGTGCAGCATCTTGTCACTGCCCAGTAGTGACCCGGCCCTCCAGAGGCAGCTGTTGCCCTGGGTCAGACCTCACTTTGTCGATTTATTCCAGTTTCCCCAGGGCAAAGGGGTGAGGGAGGGGCTCCTGCTGCCGGAGCAGCCGTCACAGGAAGTGAGTCTCTTCCCAGGAGGGCTGGGCAAGTGGGTGCTAGAGTCTGAGAGCCTCAGTCTCCTGCCCTGAGCCTCCCCACTGGTGCTATCTGTTTGCTGACCATGCTCAAGGACATGGACACAGACCCCACTCGGCCCCAGACCCTGCAGGCGCCTCGGGGAGGCGCCCAAAGGACTCCCTTGAGCTGGTGCATCCACTCCGTGGTCCTGAGGGGCCACGGTCTCCATTTCTGCATCTTGCATGACCAGGCACTGGGATGGGGTGGCGCGCCCCGACACCCTTGTTTGTGTCAAGAATGACTTTTCCTTCTCCTCCCGTCGATCCTGCTTCTCTCCCAGTTCAGGGAGCACCGTGGGCAGCCGGCAGCCGGCACCACGTTCGCCAGCGTTCCGCTTCCACCCTTCCCCTCATCCGCGCCGCTCTGCTTTCCTCAGACCCCTTTTTGCCATGCAAAGGGAATTCTCAAAACTAAATAAACGGTGTCCAGATTGCAGACTGCATTTTCACAAGGCCAAGGGGTTCCGCAGTGTGGCTCCTTAGAGACCCAGAATCCAACGAACTGGGATTTTTTTTTTTTCCTTCTGCTAAGAAGAGTTGAGAAGTTAAACAGACAAATTCGGTGGAGTTTTGTTTTGGTTTTTTGTTTGTTTGTTTTAGAGCAGAAGAGAACACTCTCGTCCAGTGTTTTGGTTGGGAGGAGGCAGTATTCTGCTTTAAAAAGTATATGCAGGAAATCGATATTTTGATAAATATAAATCGTGGAGAATAAGACCAACAATTTTTTTTTTAGATTTTTAAAATTAATTTATTTTTGTGGCTGTTGAGAACGTGAAGGGGGAGAAATCCCATTTGAGACATGGGTTTGGAACACCTGAACGCGTAGCTGGAGTCTCTCCCTTTATTTTAACCTCAAGGAGCTGATTCCCAAAGAGGGTTAGTGACTGAGCCAGTGAGAGGGCCCAGGCCGTCTGGTTCCCACATCCTGGTCCGGCAGATGCCACTGCACCAAGTGTCCCTTGGCTACACCAGGAGACACCCCAGCGCCCCCGGCACCGGCCTTGGGCTTGTCCTAGACTGAGCTCCACTCCTGGAGCTGATCAGAGGTGGTAGCACTTGGTGTGGACCTCTACCAGGCAGCAGGGGTCCTCAGTGTGGACCCTGGAGTCCACTTACTGAAGCAGGACAAAGGTCAAGGGTCCTGCTTTGAAGGTGGATTTTTATTTTCCTTCTGATAATGTGTTAATTAAAGTTAACTATTTTAATTTAAAAAATGCATGCAGTAAAAATTTAAATGGTTTAAAAAAAAAAAAAAAGACACAAGAGTAAAACTTTTTCCTACCAGACTCCCTGTTGAGAGATATCCACTGCTAAGAGTTTTTTGTATGTCCTTCCAGAACTGGAGAAGTCAAGGCTTGGAGGATGAGTTGGATGGGGTTGTGGGGGGAGGAGGCCAGAAGCAATGTGTGATGAAGATGATACTTGGCAGGGAGGCAGGAATTGGGGTTGTAAGACAGGAGACTGGCCTGGTCATACTCAGGATGTGAGAAAGTTGTAGGCGATGTAGATTCAAGGTGAGTCAAGGCCAGGCCACGGAAGGCCTTGAATGCCAAGACTATTCCATAGACAGGCTATCAATTAGCCTGGGATCTGCTGTGCCACAGATCCTTCAGAGCCCCCTTAGGACTCTTTTTAGAAGCCCAGGGGTGCCTGACTGGCTCAGTTGGTAGAGCATGTGACCCTTGATTGTGGGATCGAGCCCCACATTGGGTTGTAGAGATTAAAAACTTTTTTTTTTTTAAGATTTTATTTTTTTGAGAGAGATACCAAGAGAGGGAGCACAAGCAGCCAGGAGAGGGAGAAGCAGGCTCCCCACTGAGCTGGGGACGTGAGCTTGATTCCAGGACCCTGGAACTATGACCTGAGCCGAAGGCAGACAATGAACTAACTGAGCCAACCAGGCAGCCCTAAAAAATCTTCAGATGCCCAGAGTGTATAGCTCTAAGAGGTCAGAAGGAATGAAAATGGAAATCTTGAGACAGCAAGTTTAAGCTAGACACCACTGAAAATGAGAAATGACAAGGGACCAGTTCTCTTATAATCAAGGCTTTGGGCACCATAACTGGCTCTCTCAGATCTGGTCCCAGAATATTGGGTGTTGGAGAGTAAGGGGAAGGAGGAAATATCACACTCGGCTCAAGACGAACCAGCCTATGACGATAGTTAACGGTATTGGTTTATCTGATTGTTGGAAAGTCATGCAACGGAGCATCATACCAGCTTGGGGCCCTGAATAGGACCATTTGGGGAAGGCCATGGCTGCCATTCCATCTGCCACTGACTCAGAGTCATTGTGGAGGGATATTTCTAAAAGTAATTTTTTTTTTTTTAAGATTTTATTTAGGGGTGCCTGGATAGCTCAGTGGGTTAAGCCTCTGCCTTCAGCTCAGGTCATGATCTCAGGGTCCTGGAATCAAGCTCCACATCCGCCTCTCTGCTCGGTGGGGAGCCTGCTTCCTCCTCTCTCTGCCTGCCTCTCTGCCTACTTGTGATTTCTGTCTGTCAAATAAATAAATAAAATCTTTTAAAAAAAAAGATTTTATTTACTTAGCAAGAGAGACAGCGAGAGAGAGCATGAGGAGGGAACCTGACATAGGACTGGATCCGAGGACCGTGGGATCATAACTTGCACTAAAGGCAGACGCTTAACCGACAGCCACCCAGGTGCCCCTAGAAGAGTAATTCTTGAGAAGAGGGATCTTGGGTGTGAGAGTCTCAGACCCCTCTCCCGGCCCACACCAACCTGTGAGGCTCCCATAGGTCCCCTTCCATAAGAATCTTTCTTCTAGTGTGATGCTGGCACTGTGTCCTAGAGGTTGAGAACCTCTATTCAGATCTCTTGATATGTATTTTAAACCAGCATCCTACCCCAGCATAGTAATTTCTGCAGGTTTCATTCTGTTAAAAGAGAAAACTACCTTTGATATGTATCCCATTCAAGATTCAAGGGGGACACTATATCCAGTCTTAGAAGTGAAAGCCCGTGTTGGTTACCCGGGGGTCCCCACAACTTCCATCCCTATGGGGCCAATATCCTTTGACCATAAAATGACTTGAGTCCCCAAGCGGGATCCTCTGCCCCATGTCTCAGGGATGTGGGGGTGAGGACATGTTCGTTTTCCTTTGTTAGCTTATGCTTCCTGGATTCGCAAATTGACATATGTCTGCATTCCTGCTGCTGGCCTGCTCTCAGCTCTGCATTAACCCAGACAGCTCTTCATCTTTGCTTTCCCTAGGTAAGATTTTATGTGTAGTAGACTTTTATCCTTTGGAGACGATACAAAGGGTCTCATCTCAGCCTAGCACAGCAAATGACCCAAAATTAGACATTTAATAATGTACTATCTCTATTCTTAAAAGACTGTGAACAATTTTCACCATCAGGAATTTCTCACAATTCACCAGCTCCCATTCTTGATCTTGTATCTTACCTGCCTCTCTAAGGGGTAGCTCTCTTCCCCCTTTCTGAGGTCTCGTGCCCTCCCTCCCAAAGTATCCAAGGGAATCCCCAAATCCTAGTTTATTATGGAGAGTAATTTAGTTTTATCTTTCTTCAACTTCTGCCTTCCAAGCCATTCCCTAGGGCCTGTTTTTCCACAATTAAAGTGGCCAGTAGAACTCTATTGCAAAACAAAGTGCTGTTCGATCCCCTAAGAGGAATTCTGCATCAGGTTTTAAGCCATGCATGGAGTTTCAAATAGATTTTACAATAATACATTCAAAATTCCAAGTGGATAAGAGGATGTGCAGAAGAAAAAAACAAAACAAAAAACTCGTCCCCCAGTCACCTAGTTCTTCTACCTGAAGCTGACTAGTCAACTATGGAGAAAGGGGAAGTTTCTGGAAGGAAGCCAGAATCCTTCACGGATTCAGAGGAACAGTTGAAAGATCAATCCTGGACAGAGACAAAAATGTGTCTCTCATCTCTGCTCCTTTACATTGGAATCATTTTCTCAAACCAACTTACTCCAAGAAATGGGGCAAGACTGTTCCTGACCCATACATTTATAACTTTACCACAAAGGAAATTAACCAGTCCCCTCAGGTCTAGTTAGAAAGATCCCAGGGAGGGGCTCCTCATGGCTCAGATGGTTGAGCATCTGCCTTCAGCTCAAGTCATGATCCTGGGGTCCTGGGATTGAGCCCCACATCTGGCTCTCTGCTCAGCAGGGAGCCTGCTTCTCCCTCTCCCTCTACTGTTCCCCCCCTGCTTGTGCTCTTTTGCTCTCTTTGTCAAATAAGTAAATAAAAATATTTAATAAATAAATGATCCCAGGGAAGAGCTCTGATTGGTCCAGCTTAAGTCATATGCCTACCCCTGGGTCAATTACTGTGGCCAGGAGGCTAGGATGGTATGACCGGACCGGCTTGAGTCAAATGCCCACCCTTGCACAGTCACTGTGACCTGGCTGCCATCGTTATGGAACAAGATGGCAGTACCCATTCCAAGTACATGGCTAGAGCCTAGGGAGGGGCTGTCCCCAAAGAGGAAGAGGTGTATCTATGCCCAGAAGAAGGGAAAAGTGCAAGGTTGACAAAGCTAACAGATGTCCACCACCTGTGGACACGCTGTGTGTGTTAAGTGTCCACCGTGTCCATATACGCGTACATATGTGGGGGGCGGGGGTGCTGTGCAGCTTGAACCAAGATGGATTCATTCTAGGAGTCACGGTGACCTGGAGGCCTGGGGGGTGTGCTCCCCAGGAGGTTCTTTATGTGAGAGAAGGAGCATGACAGACCTGGTCTCTGCCAGCTAGAGGCTTGCAGGATAATAAGGGGAACAGAATAGAAAGTGTCTCAACTAAGTGGGATAAAGCCACGGTCTATAACTTTCTCGAGTAAAATAATGTTTGGACATAACATTACATGTATGTTAATATGTATGCTAGAAGTCATATGCACAAGAGAACATTTAAAGAACAAGAGAAATAATTTTAAAGATTTTTTTTTTTAATTTGTCATAGAGAGTGCGCACAAGCAGGCAGAGTGGCAGGCAGAGGCAGAGAGAGAAGCAGGCTCCCCGCTGAGCAAGGAGCCCGATGCGGGACTCGATCCGAGGACCCTAGGATCAGGACCTGAGCCGAAGGCAGTGGCTTAACCTACTGAGCCCCTCAGGCATCCCGAGAAATATTTTTAAAGCATTATTTTATTTAATTTATTTTTTTAAAGATTTTCTTTATTTATTTGGCAGAGAGAGACACAATGAGAGGGAACATAAGCAGGGGGAGTGGGAGAGGGAGAAGCAGGCTTCCCACGGAGCAAAGAGCCTGATACGGGGCTCGATCCCTGAGCCAAAGGCAGACGCTTAAGGACTGAACCACTCAGGTTCTCTTAAACTTAATTTGTACTGTATGTGAGTCAAAGGATACTTTTTTCTCTCACTAGAAACAAAGATGTGGGTGAGATGACATCTAAGGTCAGTTTCAGCTCTGCCTGTCACACAGATGACACACAGGTGACAGGTTACAAGTACTAAGTGCATTTTCTCGAGTCCCTTAATACCACGGCCATAATAGGAATAATTGTGAGTCATATTTACAAGTTTATTTAAAGGCCTGTGTCACGATCTTAGTGTCATTGGGAAAGGAATGGAAAGCTTCTAAGAGACACAACAAGGGGACGTTACTATTGGTGAATTCATCGCAGCTCAAGGCTTGGACATTGTCACAGCAAAAACATACCCAAATGAAAAGTCGCTGTTCATAGAGTGCTTGCTACACACCAGGCATTCAGCGACACAAGCGCTTTACTTACATGTGTGTGTGTTCTCTTAATCCCATCAACATCCCAAGGATGTGATGTTTGTGTTCTCAGTGGGAAGACACGGAAGCAGAGGCCACACCACTTAGTGAGGGAAGGAGCCAGAACACAGAGAACTGTAGTGATCAGGAGCACTTTTCGAACTCTGCACCTGACAGGCACTGTTCTAAGCACTTGAACGGACTCTTTTAATCTGCACAACTCTGTGAGGTATGAGCTGTTACTGTTACTCACTAGTAATGAGGAAATGGAGGCACCAAGAAGTTAATGACTTGCCCACATCTAGTAAGTGGGAGAGACCAGTGGTCTTGCTTTTCTCTTTCTCTCTTTCTCCCGTTCTTTCTCTGTCTCTCGACATCAATGTAGACACTATTATTTTGCCCCAAGTTTTAAAACATTTGCAATTTGAAAAAATGGTTTCTTTTTTTATCTTTTTTTTTTTCCCCAGTAATTCAACAGTTCCCTGTATTACTCAGTGCTCATCAAGATAGGTGTGCTCTAGGGGCGCCTGGGTGGCTCAGTGGGTTAAAGCCTCTGCCTTCGGCTCAGGTCATGATCCCAGGGTCCTGGGATCAATCCCTGCATTGAGCCTCGAATTGGGCTCTCTGTCAGCGGGGAGCCTGCTTCCTCCTCTCTCTCTGCCTGCTTCTCTGCCTACTTGTGATCTTTCTGTCAAATAAATAAATAAATTAAATCTTTTAAAAAAAGGTTTAAAAAAAAAAAGATAAGTGTGCTTTTAACCCCCTTCACCTATTTCCCCCATCCTGGGCTCCACTTCCTAAAGCAGCATGCACACCATCTCTGCAAGCCTGTGAGATTCAGACCAGTGCCTGGTGCTGCCTCCTTTGCACACTGGAAATTTGATCTAAATGTTTTCACACTGTTCCAGGCTCAGAGTCGGGGTGCTGAATCACAGTGATGCTCAAGAAACTGATGGATAAGCCGGAGCATCCGTTTACTCATTTCCAGGGGATGGACTGGTTGTTTGTATCAGCCTGACCTGCCTGTTGTCTCCCAGTAGCTATGTGCAATGTGCATCATCAGATTGCCTGGTGAACACAGAAACAGAATAGAAGGTTCTAGAACTGAACTGCTAATGACCCCAGTACCCAGTATCCTATGTCCTGATTGTGTCTGTCTCCACAGACATGATACATTTTTTTCTGTGACTGACAGTAAATGTTTGGTCTGAGAAAGTAGGTCAGACCCCAGACATATCTCAGTGACTGACTGGTTTCTTCAGCGTGACCCATCCCTTTCTTTTTCTTTCTTTCTTTCTTTCTTTCTTTCTTTCTTTCTTTCTTTCTTTCTTTCTTTCTTTCTTTCTTTCTTCCTTTCTTTCTTTAAAAAGATTTTATTTATTTGACAGAGACAGAAATAGAGGGAACATAAGCAAGGGGAGTGGAAGAAGGAGAAGCAGATTCCCCACTGAGCAGGGAGCCAGATGTGGGGCTCAATCCCAGGACTCTGGGATCATGACCCAAGCCAAAGACAAGGACTGAGCCACCCACGTGTCCTGACCCAACCCATCCTTTCTTTAGATGTATTGATTTGGTGAGTCTCCTGTTGATCTGGTTGCTTCTCTTGGAGGTGACTTTATCTACCCTTATTCTCTGGTTCACCATTCAGTCATCCAAAGATATATATGAGCACTTCTGTGTGCAAAAAATGGTGTATATTGTGGAGGGACATTTTAGTGAAATGGACACATCCTTACCATGTAAACTGATGAAAAAACTTATTTCTGTTAGTGATAATACTCTGAAAACTTTTGATCAGAGAATCAGGATTGAGGGTTGGGATGGAGAAGGGCGTTGGGCTGGAAGCAGGGGGGACAGGGAATGTATCAGAGGAGGTAAAGTCTGAGCCCTGCATGCTAAGGAGCCAGTTTGTTGATCTTAAGAGCTAAGCTCTCAGAGGAAGGTCTTCAGAACTATAATTCAAGTGGAAGTTCATTGCCTGTCTCTATAGAAACCATGTGGTACAAATTAGACAAGTATGGTTGCAGTAGTGATTTGTATTGGGTGACCAAATGGAAAGGCAGCCATGCTTTCCAAATCAAAATTCCAAACTCATCATTTAACAGTAACATGTGGACGGGATTAAACATTTGAAATCGGGGCTCTCTTGGATTTTCTAAGGTGTGTGATTGCAATAACTAATGGGATACAGTGGGTTGGCCTGGGCACCTTGACTCCACACTGTTGATGGGAAAGTGTATTTCTAGTTTTTTTCTTTTTCCTTTTCTTTTCTTTCTTTTCTTTTCTTTTGAGAGAGCAAGAGAGTGTGAGCAGGGGGAAGGGCAGAGAGGGAGAAGCAGGTCCCCCAAGAGCAGGGAACCCAATGTGGGGCTGGATCCCAGGACCCTGAGATCGTGACCTGAGCCGAAGGCAGAGGCTTAACTAACTGGGCCATCCAGGCGCCCCATGTGTTTCTAGTTTCTAGAAAGCCAAATAACAGATGAACAAATGGAATAAAACACATGCCATTTGGCTCCATATCTCTTTTTCCCAACTAAGTTACATATTCTTCCCTCAGAACAAAGTCTGACTTTTATGCATTTTTTAATCGCTCAAAGCACCTCGCCGAGTGCTGGGCACGTAGAAGACACACAAGTCCGGCGTTTGCCTTCAATTCTCAACGTGCGCTTGGCTTGGAGGGAGCAAGCTCTTCCCTGGTCGCACACTCTGGCCCGAGCGCCGAGCTGCTGTTCATCCTCCTGTCGCACGGGGGCGCCCTGGAAATGCCGCGCTGTGAGGACCAGCCGCTGGAGAGGCTCTTGGCGCTGGAGGGCCGAACTCCCACAATGCACCTTGTATCAACACGGCTCTGGTGGCGGCTTCGAGGAGGGGCTGGGGCGCTCACCGGTCCGGCACGCAGCGCGAGGGCTATCGGGCGGGGCCCGGGTGAGGGGCGACTGGCAGCCATGGCGGAGTCGGCGCCTACTCGGGTAAGGGTGCTCCCGGCACCGGTCGCGGGCGCGTTCGGGATTGCGGAGCTACTGGCCGGGGCGGGGCTTCCAAGCTCGCACCCCTGTGGGGCTGGGGGTCCCGGGGCTCCCCGGGCTCCCCGGGCTCCCCGGGCTGTTTCTAGCGAATACCGGCCTCCTCCCACGACCCCAGGTCACTGCCTTCCCCCTCTCCGGCTCCTTCCCCGTGGGGCCGGAGCCCCAGCGCCACACACCGTTGCGGAGAAACTTCTCCGAGGCTTGTTTTGGGTTTTTGGGGTTTTTGGGGTTTTGTTTTTTGTTTTTTTGAGAGTGCGCGCGAGAGAGCACGCGCACAAGCTGGGGGAGGGGCAGGGGGACAGATTTTCTTTTTTTCTTCTGAGAGAGAAGAGCGAGCCGGGGGCGGGGGGAGGGGCAGAGGGAGAGAGATTTTTTTTTTTTTTTAAGAGAGAGCGCAACAGGGGGGAGGGGGGAGAGAAATATATACATGTTATATTTATATTTTATATATGTATATTATTTAAGAGAGCAGGATTGGTGGGGAAGAGGGGGAGGGAATTTTTTTAAGAGCTCGCTGTGGGGGGTGGTGTAGGGGCAAAAGGAGAGGGAGAATCTTTTTTTTGAGTGAGACGGGTTGGGGAGGAGAGGGGTGGGGAGGAGGGGGGTGGGGAGGAGCGGGGTGGGGGTGGGGAGGAACGGGGTTTGGGGGAGAGAGAAAATCTTAAGCAGGCTCCATTACCATCAGGGAGCCAGAAGCTGGGCTCCACCTCATGACCCTGAGATCATGACCAGAGCCGAAATCAAAATCAGTGGCTTAACAGACTGAGCCACCTAGCAGCTGGAAAATGTAAAGGATATACCAGGTAAAAGGAAAATTATCCCAAATGTAAAGTCTGAAAATGTAAGAAAGTGTGATGACCCATGGAAACGGATAAATCTGAACATGTATCGAAAAATGTAAGAAAGTGTGATGACCCATGGAAACGGATAAATCTGAACATGTAT